GGCGGCCCGCGGTTCCGCACCCGGCCGTTGTCGTTGCGGTCTCCGGGGCCGGGAGGGTCGGCGAGGGCCGCGGCCGGGAGGGCAGGGAGGGCCGGGAGGGGGCTGGGCCGGCCGGCGGGTGGGCTACCGAAGACCCGATGGCAGGTGCCTACCCACCCTGTGACCCAGCTCTCTCCCCGCAGCTCCACCCACTTTGGCCTAGACCCAGCCTCCAAGGGCTAAAAATATTGCCCGGAGGCTTCTGAGCGGAATCAGATCGTGCTAAGTAGGGCACGACGCACAGAGGCGACAGAGCTCCTCGGCCCCAGGGCGGGAGCCAGTCTCCGGAGCGGCGGTTCCGCCCACGCTCGGCCCAGCAGCTAGCGGCCTCCCTCCACCCGAGCAGGCAAGTGGGGGCCCCGCGGGCGGTGGCAGCGGGCACTGGTCCTCTGAAGTTGCCCCACAGCGGAGCAGCTGTGCTCAGCCTCTCCCTAGCCAGGGGACCTTGGGCACCAATCACTGCTGGCTTCCCAGGGGGTCCGCCCGGTGCTCTAGAAGCGAAGGCTGAAAGTTACCCACTGCAGGAATCGGAACTAGCCGGGAGAAGACTGCAGGGCCCGCTGGATGTTAGAAACAAGCTGCTCTTGCAGCTTTGTAAACTCATTCTGTTTTTCTTAATGAGAGAGGTGCTGGGCCAGGCACTCTCTGGTGAGCACCGGTTTGATCCAAGAGGAAGAAAGGTTTCCCTCTCCGTTTCCTTAAATTCAAACTAAATCCCAGTTTAGTCCTCTGAAACTAGAAGCACGTGGCCAAGCAGGCTGGACACCCACCTCCTTTGACTGGCTGTGTCCTTCCTGTAGGCAAGCTCTACGGGAAGCTAGTCATAATCAGGAGGTTGTGTGGTGCACTCTGGAGTCAGAGCTGGGACGTTTGTTATCCAGTCGTGTTACCCTGGGAAGGAGGATCCTCTGCATCCTAGGGGCTGAGCTGCCACCAGGACCAGGCAGGACGTGCTTCAGATGTGCTCCTCGCGCTTTCCAGTGTCTCAGCCAAGAGAGGAGGCTCCACAGCCAATGTTGGGATTTGGTGCTTAGAAACTCGCTTTTCTTCGGAGTCAGGCAAATAGGTGTTCCTTGAGAGTAGCACTCAGGAACTCTTTGGGGCATTTGGTGGAAAGACCAACAAAGGGATTTTGCCTGCTGGAGCCGCATATGGTGTCCCTCCTGCCAGGTGTGTGGAGGCCAGCATGAAGCTGAAAAAGCAGGTGACAGTATGTGGGGCCGCTATCTTCTGTGTGGCCGTCTTCTCGCTCTACCTCATGCTGGACCGAGTGCAGCATGATCCCACCCGTCACCAGAATGGCGGGAACTTCCCCCGGGTGAGTCATGCCTGCTTGCTAATCTCTTCATATACAAGTCCTCTGAGCTCAGGTCGAGAGTCAGTGTCAGCCCAGGACAGGAACACTTCTTCCCGATCGGCAGATTTTCTAGACACGCGAAGGTAAAAACAAGGATAGCAAAAAAGGAAGAAGGAAGGAGAAACATGTACTGCCGCTCTGTCCTCCTGAATTCTTGGCAGACATTGCTAATGGATTGCAGCATTCTTTCCCACTAAGCCCGGATGCAGTCCTTGTCAGCACAGTGCTCCAGACGGGCCACACCGGTTGTGGAGAATAGGCCTGCGAGGTGAAATCTTCGCCCTTCTGGGAGCCAGGGCGTGAGGGTACTCCCCAGCCAAGTGGACTGGGGTCCTCTGTAGTGATTTGCAGATCTTCCCTCATCTGGCCAGAGCCATCCAGGCCCGTAGGCTCCTGGTTCTGCCTGCACTTGGGGAGGGAAGGATCACAGTCAGGCCTCGGGTGGTGGGCCCCATGCAGAGATCCTCCCTGTGGCACCAGGAGCCGTGGGTGATTGCTTTCTGGTGTTTTGGCAGAGCCAAATTTCTGTGCTGCAGAACCGCATTGAGCAGCTGGAGCAGCTGTTGGAGGAGAACCATGAGATCATCAGCCACATCAAGGACTCGGTGCTGGAGCTGACAGCCAATGCGGAGGGCTCGCCCGCCCTGCTGCCCTACTACACGGCCAATGGCTCCTGGGTGGTGCCCCCAGAGCCCCGGCCCAGCTTCTTCTCCATCTCCCCTCAAGACTGCCAGTTTGCTTTGGGGGGCCGGGGCCAGAAGCCAGAGCTGCAGGTAGGGGGTCAGCGCTGGTGGGGAGCTCTGGTGGATATGGATGGGCACTGAGCTGCTCCCTGGCCTGGCAGATGCTGACCATATCAGAGGAGTTGCCCTTCGACAACGTGGATGGCGGCGTGTGGAAGCAAGGCTTCGACATCTCCTACGGCCCGCACGACTGGGACACTGAAGCCCTGCAGGTGTTTGTGGTGCCTCACTCCCACAATGACCCGGGTGAGGACCCAGCAGAGCCCTGGGAGCTGGGCTGTGCAGGGGGCTTTCCGGTGGCAGAGGTAAGCGAGGGGCCGACGAAGATGCTGGCGTCCTTAGGGGACCCTGTGTTGGCTCCCCAGGCTGGATCAAGACCTTTGACAAGTACTACACGGAGCAAACCCAGCACATCCTCAACAGCATGGTGTCCAAGCTGCAGGAGGACCCCCGGCGGCGCTTCCTCTGGGCAGAAGTCTCCTTCTTTGCCAAGTGGTGGGACAACATCAATGCCCAAAAGAAAGCAGCAGTCCGCAGGCCAGTGCCCATTGGGGAGGCCCTACCCTCTGGGCCCCGGGATGGGTGCCAGAGCAGCTGGAGGCCAAGCTGTGGGTGCCAGGGTGGCAGGGAGAGGAAGGGGGAGCAGGGCAGGGAGGAGTGATAGTAGAGGGGCCGAGGCTAAGAAGACAGTCACTGGTGTTGGGAGAAATCAGAGTCACAGCGAAGAAGGAGCACGGGGCCTGGCCCTGGGAAGCGCAGACGGAGGTCCAGAGAGAGGCAGGGCCAGGACAGCATGGAGGTTGTATGTGGGGAGAGGAGGGTGCACATTTGTTCTGGTTGGTCCTGGGGTCGGGTGAGCGGGCTTGGTGAGGCCAGTGCGCACAGGTCCTGGCATCCTGGTTGGCAGGACTGGGCAGAGCATCCCTGCCCTGTGCTGAATGTGCGTCCTTCACTCCAGGCTGGTGGGAAACGGGCAGCTGGAGATTGTGACAGGAGGCTGGGTGATGCCGGACGAGGCCAACTCCCATTACTTTGCGCTCATTGACCAGCTCATTGAGGGACACCAGTGGCTGGAGAGAAACCTCGGTGAGTCTGGGCTCAGGAACGAGAGTCTGCTCCCATAGCTGGGCCGAGGGGACAGCAGGGGCCTGTGAGGCGCAGGGGTGGGGGTAGGGGATTCCTTTGTAAGCTGATTCCACCAGCCTGGGCCTGGCGTGATGGCAAGAAGAAAGCTGGGTCCCCAGGACAGGAGGCCCGGTCCTGAAGTGTTCAGGACCTCTGGCTCCCGTGTCCTCTCAGGTGCGACTCCGCGCTCTGGCTGGGCAGTGGACCCCTTTGGACACAGCTCCACCATTCCTTACCTGCTGCGCCGTGCCAACCTGACCAGCATGCTGATCCAGAGGGTGCATTACGCCATCAAGAAGCACTTTGCTTCCACCCACAGTCTGGAGTTCATGTGGAGGCAGACCTGGGGTAAGACCAGGTAGGGTGGAGGGGGGGCGGGGGTTATAGCTCTCCCTGGGGAAGGACAGGGGGATGAGAAATAAGACCCGGTGTCCTTCGGAGCATGCCCATGAGCACTAGTGCAGACAGCCAGAGTGCTCTCCTCCTTCAGGGGAGGTCAAGGGTCACGTTGACCTCTGGCCTCTGCGGGGCCTGCTCTCTGGCCTGAGGGTCTGAGCGTCCCACCCCCTGGAGGAGCTGTGGGCCCCAGAGCCCTCCCTGTGTCCCGAGCCTCGGCCCGCACATCTTCTGCAGCCTGAGGTCTGGTTCAGGCCTCACCTTATGTCAGAGCTTCCCGTAGCTGGAGCAGATCCCCGCCCTGCTGCCACCCCCACGGCCAGCTCCAGAGGCTGCCTGCTGGTGGCCGACCGCCCGCTGTGTCTTCTCCAGACTCGGACTCCGACACGGACATCTTCTGCCACATGATGCCCTTCTACAGCTATGATGTGCCCCACACCTGTGGCCCGGATCCCAAGGTCTGCTGCCAGTTTGACTTCAAACGCTTGCCGGGCGGACGCATCAACTGCCCCTGGAAGGTGCCACCCCGGGCGGTCACAGAGGCGAACGTGGCCGAGAGGTACTTGTCCCCGGCCTGCGCTGGGCCATTTCACTGCAGGGAGGAGCCGGGAGACCTGGCCTCGCTCCAGGCTCCGCTGTACGGGGGTGCTTCGGGTCATACCTCTGTAGAATGGGGGGTGGGCACAGGTGGTGAGTTCAGGTCCACAGCCGCTACGGTGCAGCACTTTTCTGAGCCTCCCTGGAAAACTAGAGCTGCCCTAGGGAACCCCCTTTGCCAGAATGGCTTTATTTTCCCAAACGAGTATGTTGCCCAGCCAGAGCTGGTTGACTGACTCAGAAGTGAACAATTCTCAAAACAGGTAAAGTTCCTTGCCCTGTGGCCTAATGTGCCTTCATTTAGCGCAGGCATCCTGCCTTAGCCCAAAGTTGGCCACGATCCCCAGCGGTCGTGGACCTGGAATCCCACTCAGTCCTGCCCAAGGGCCCCCAGCCTCAGAGAAAGCCCATCTGCCCTCTTGAGGGTCGTTAGGGACTCCTCAAGATGTCTCTGTTGCTGAAGTCAGCGCCCCCTCCCTGGGAAAGGGCAGGTTAAGAGTGACCTAGAACAGTGGGTTGGCCGGAACCGACCGGCCTTGAGAATATAACAAGTTGAACTGGTTTTCGTGTTGCAGTAACTCTGATTTCCATGATGTCCAAGAGGTGAAACATGTGACCAAAGGGAAAAAAAGTGGTCTTTTGTTTCTGAAACCCAGAAATCTGAATGCCGATTCTAAGCAGGGATCTAGGGCTGTTAAGGCCTGGTATTTCCCAAAGCGCATCTGTGACCTGCAGATCCCAGCCCAGGTTTGCGGAGAGCAAGTCACGAGAGTAACTACGTTTTCTCCTTTGAAAGGCTTAATAGGCTGAGAAATTAGGGGAAAATGGTGTTCAAGGAGTCCTCTCTCGAGAGCAAAGTAGGAAAGTACCAGCTGGATCAGCACAGTTAAGTAGATCAGTGGCTGGTTGAACCATGGTACCCGCGATGTGCCAATTACTAGGTTGGTCTGAAAAGAGAAAGGGGCTTTAATGAGAGGCTGCAAGGCTCTGTTTTTTTTATTGATTTTACGAGTAACTTGACTGAAAAAGAAAACGATGAATGTGTGTTTATAGTTTCTGCTATGAGTCAGGCACAGTTCTAAGTGTTTAATATATATTAAATCGCTTAGTCTGTTTTAATTTTCATAACATCATGATGGTAGGTACTGACATTCTCATTTTATAAAAACTGAGGCCCAGAGAGGTTAAGTAACTTGCCCAGGGTCACTCAGCCTAGTCCGTGTGGAGCTGGCATAGTCTGGCTCTGATTCTAGGCTCTTTGGTGTTGTGCTGTGTTTGCTCCCTGGTGGGCAAAGTGAAGCTGGAGTGTCAGGATCAGGATCCTCCAAGATCTCAACAGGTTGTGTGTGATGTGGGTCGAATCTAACCAGATGAGATTTACTAGATATAAACGTAAGGTTCCCCTCTTAGCCTCAGAAAACAGCATAGAAAAGTTCAGGATGAGAAGGAACTTGAACCGCAGGCATGGGAAACATGCACGCTGGCTGACGTCAGCCCCGGGGGTGACCGTAGGGCTGCCAGAGACGCCCCCGTTGATGCGCCCCCACAGCGGTGGCCCACCTGGACGCCTGCATCCAGTGCCGGGCCCTGCGCTCTGAGGGACACAGGCACAGGGTGCTGGGGAACCGCTGGAGATGGAGGGACCCAGGCGACGGAGGAGCTGGGCTTGCGGAGCCGGAAGGGGAGGCACAGAGGACGTCTTGCATACGTCTGAAGGAGAACCCCAGGGGAGGGGAGTGCTGCGTTCTGCGTGGTGTCCAGGGGCGGCCCTGGAGTCCGGGACCTGTAGCCGGAAACTGCAGCCCAGCCTAGGAAGACCTCCCCTGTTGTCAGAACCGTCCAGAGAACACGGGGCTCCCGGGGACAGGTTTCCCACTCTGGGAGATGCCCGCCGCAGGCCCCGTGACTCCTCGCTGGGTGTGTTCAGGGGCCCTCTGCGGCTGGCTCTGCTCGGTTCCTCTTCCGCCCAGACTCCACTTGGGCCCGGGCCCTCTCCCCCCACCCCCGCAGGGCCACGCTGCTCCTGGACCAGTACCGGAAGAAGTCCCGGCTGTTCCGAAGCAATGTCCTCCTGGTGCCGCTGGGCGACGACTTCCGATACGACAAGCCCCAGGAGTGGGATGCCCAGTTCTTCAACTACCAGCGGCTCTTTGACTTCCTCAACAGCAAGCCCGATCTCCACGTGCAGGTGGGAGGGGTCGCCGAGCTGGGGGGTGGGTGGGGGGTCCCTCTGCAGTGCTGCAGCCTGGCCTGGCAGGTTACCAGCTCCAGGGCAGGGGTTTGTGCCCGACTCTTGGGCAAGGGTCTCCCTTTTTTTTTTTTTTAAAGATTTTATTCATTTATTTAATTGACAGAGAGAGAGACAGCGAGAGAGGGAACACAAGCAGGGTGAGGGGCAGAGGGAGAAGCAGGCTTCCTGCAGAGCAGGGAGCCCGATGCGGGGCTCGATCCCAGGACTCAGAGATCATGACCTGAGCTGAAGGCAGACGCTTAACCGACTGAGCCACCCAGGCGCCCCAAGGGTCTCCCTTTTATGTCAGAATTCCTTCCTGGTCCCCCCGCGTCTGCGTGTGGGCCAGCAGGGTAGGACGTGCCATGACTGCCTGTGCGTAGGCAGAGTCCCTACTCCTGGCGCTCAGCTGCAGCACTCGGGGCCACAAGTCCTAGAAACTCTGGAACTGATGGGAGCGGGTTTGGGGGGTCTCCACAGGCCCAGTTTGGCACCCTCTCTGACTATTTTGACGCTCTGTACAAGAGGACCGGGGTGGAGCCAGGGGCCCGGCCTCCAGGGTTCCCTGTGCTGAGCGGGGATTTCTTCTCCTATGCGGACCGGGAGGACCATTACTGGACCGGCTATTACACTTCCCGGCCCTTCTACAAGAGCCTGGACCGGGTCCTGGAAGCCCACCTGCGGTGAGACTCAACCCCCTTCCAGGCCGGAGGGAGGAGAATAAGCCTTTGGGGTTTAAGGAGGAGCTGGATCGGCTCAGAATGCACCGGAAGGGCTTGGCGACAAGGCAGGCAGAGACGTGGTGGAAAGAAGGGGGCGGGGCTTGCTGAGCGGGGGCGGGGCTTGCTGAGCGCGGCCGGCCTGGGAGTCGTGTGGGCGGGAGGCTGACTGACCCCTCTCTGGGCAGGGGGGCAGAGATACTGTACAGCCTTGCTGTCGCTCACGCCCGCCGCTCCGGACTGGCTAGCCGGTACCCGCTCTCCAACTTCGCCCTCCTGACGGAAGCCCGGCGCACTCTGGGCCTCTTCCAGCACCACGATGCCATCACCGGCACGGCCAAGGAGGCCGTCGTGGCAGACTACGGCGTCAGGTGGGGGCTGTCCTCCTCCGCGTCGGATCCACGCCCCGGCCCGCTGTCCTAAAGAAAGGCCGAGCTGGGCAGTCAGCGGGCAGGCCTGCCGAGGGCTCTTCCTGCTGGAGAGGCGGACGGTCTGTAGGTGGCTGTCTTCTCCATGCCCACCCCCTGCCCCCTCTCCCGCCCCCAGGCTCCTGCGCTCCCTTGTCAACCTGAAGCAGGTCATCATCAATGCAGCTCACTATCTGGTGCTGGGGGACAAAGAGACCTACCACTTCGATGCCGAGGCACCCTTCCTCCAAATGGTGAGCCCCGCTTCTCGATCCGCTCGGGGCGCTCTCGGGAGCGTGCAGGCCCATCCAAGAGCTGCGGTATGAGGGTGTTGCTCTCCTTTTCCCGCCTGCCCTGGAGTGAAAGATCGGTGCCCAGTGCGGCTGGTGGTCCACAGCCAGGACAGGCAGGGGTTGGGGAGGAGGCAAGGCTCTGAGCTAGGCCAACCGCAGGACGGTTCTTCCTTCCCACCCATTTAACCCCAGGATGACACCCGCTTAAATCACGATGCCCTGCCGGAGCGCACAGTGATCCAGCTGGATTCCTCACCCAGGTGAGCCAGACCAGGCCAGGCGCGGAGGCGAAGCCACTCTGGCTCCCAACACCATCTCCCACCCACACCTGCCCAAGCACCGCAGGACTCGGTGTGGGTGCCACCACTCCCGTGGGTGCCCGGGAGCAGTGGCCTCCGAGGTGAGCCTGCCTCTCCCCGCAGGTATGTGGTGCTCTTCAACCCCCTGGAACAGGAGCGGCTCAGCGTGGTGTCCCTGCTGGTCAGCTCGCCCCGGGTGCGTGTCCTTTCAGAGGAGGGTCAGCCCCTGGCGGTGCAGATCAGCGCACACTGGAGCTCTGCCACCAACATGGTCGCTGATGTCTACCAGGTGAGCAGGGGCCCCCAGGGTGGGCCCCAGCCCTCGGTGCTGACCCGGGGCCTCTCTCTGCCTGTGACACCAGCCTCCCACCCTCCCACTTCTGCCCAGCTTGGGGACAGGGGTCCTGGGGAGGGGGTTGCCCAGAGGACAGTCACTCCTGGGACTTGAGTCTGTCCTCGAAAGGAAGGCGAAGTTTGGTAGGAGCAGCGGGTGGACGTGGAGAATACTAGAAATGGGGGCTAGGTTGCCCTGCCATTCCTTCGTTCAGCAAGTGTTTACAGAAAGTTTAACGTGCGCTTCCCGCTTCGTAGTTGCTCAGGTATCAGGTGAGACTCCTGAAAGTGACCAGAGGCAAGCGATGCCACCTCCACTTTCAGAGGCGGGGCGGGGGGGTGCGTACCGAGGCCCCAGGAGGTATCAGCATTTGCTCGGACTTTCTCAGTGAGGAAGTGAATGCCCCAGGCCTAGATCCCAGGCCCGCGTCCAGAATGGATGCCCACGCCACGTGGGCCGCGCTGCCTCACCCCTCCCTCCCTCCCTCGGCCCTCCCTCCCTCACCCCTCCCTCCCTCGCCCCTCCCGCGGCAGGTGTCTGTGCCCATGCGCCTGCCGGCCCTGGGCCTCGGCGTGCTGCAGCTGCAGTTGGGCCTGGACGGGCACCGCACCCTGCCGTCCTCCGTGCGCATCTACTTGCATGGCCGGCAGCTGTCCGTCAGCAGGCAGGACGCGTTCCCTCTGCGCATCATCGACTCGGGCGCCAGTGACTTCGCCCTCAGCAACCGCTACATGCAGGTCTGGTTCTCAGGCCTCACCGGGCTCCTCAAGGTAAAGGGCCTGGGCAGGGGGCTGGGGAGGGCGTGCCTGGCGGTGGGCCGGAGCTGAGCTGCCGCCTGACTGGCGGGGGGGGCTGCGGAGTGGGCCGTCTTGGCTCCCGGGGGGCACAGCATGGGGAAGCTGGGCTGGCTCCTTGGGGGAGTTCGTCCGTGCCCTCCCAGGGGGCAGGCCTGACATGCTGGTGTGGGGCCAGGGGTCAGGGCTGTGTTTTTTGGCAGAGCATCCGAAGGGTGGACGAGGAGCAGGAGCAGCGGGTGGACGTGGAGTTCCTCATCTATGGCACCCGTGGGTCCAAAGACAAGAGTGGAGCCTACCTCTTCCTGCCTGATGGGGAGGCCCAGGTACCGTAAAGACTCCTCAAAAACTCAGCAGGCCCTGGGGGGGCCCGCTAACGGAGGGTCCGAGGAGCCCTGTGAACTGAGGCAGGGGGGAGGGCACGGGCCTTCTCCCAGGGCCATCCCTGCCTGCCGGGGGCTCTGCCCGCGCTGCCTCTGGGAGGTGGGGTAGGCTGAGGAGCGTCAGCTGGGGCCTCGGGCCAGCTCAGCCTGGGGTCTCCGGCTGGAGCCTGCTGGGAACAGGTATTTCTGCCAACGCTGGGCCGGTACCTCCCCACTCCGCCTTCCGTGCTATGGCTTCAGCTGCCGCCTGCTCTGTCCCCAGCCCTACGTCCCCAAGGATCCCCCCGTGCTGCGTGTCACCGAAGGCCCTTTCTTCTCCGAGGTGGTTGCCTACTACGAGCATGTCCGCCAGGTGGTCCGGCTTTATAATCTGCCAGGTGAGCCTGCTCGATGAGGAAGGTCAGAATAAAGGTCAGGGCTGCACGGGGCTATGCCACGCTCTTCCTTCTGCCCGTTCTCTGCTCATGTGTCTGTTCCCAGCAAACGGATCATCTGAGACGGGGAGGACGTTAATTCTCTTGCAGTGAAGGCCCTCCAGAAATGCTGGGAGTTGCCGGGGGGTTGTGCGCGGCCTCCCCCAGCCCATCTCTCAGGCCTCTCCATGCTCTCCCTTTGTCCTTCTGCCCAGGGGTGGAGGGGCTGTCTCTGGACATGTCATCCCTGGTGGACATCCGCGACTACGTCAACAAGGAGCTGGCCCTGCGCATCCACACGGACATTGACAGCCAGGGTGCCTTTTTCACGGACCTCAATGGCTTTCAGGTGATTCCCGGGGCCCTGGGAATCACCAGTGTGCCCTGATGGGGGAAGAGGAGTCCGAGGCGAGAGTGATCAGGGACTCCTTCAGACTGGGAACCCCTGGGGCCCAAATGGTGCGCGGACACCCTTGATCTGCTGGCTTTCCTGTCCCAGGTGCAGCCCCGGCGCTACCTGAAGAAGCTGCCCCTGCAGGCCAACTTCTACCCCATGCCAGTCATGGCCTACATCCAGGACGCACACAACCGCCTCACGCTACACACTTCCCAGGCCCTGGGGGTCTCCAGCCTGCACGATGGTGAGTGGGGAGCGACAGCTAGGGGGCTATGGGGAGGGTGAAGGACGAGACAGAAGCCCATCTGTGTCCCAGGGCCTCTCCTCTCAGCAGGCCCCACCCCTTTCCAGTCCACGTCACCTCCATGCTTGGAGAACGTTAACAGCACCTGTCAGTCACACACGGCATGGCAGGAAGGCAGACGCGTGCTGTCACCCTGTCCCCTAGTGGAGGCAGCCATGGAGGTGACCTGGGGGTGGGGGTCCTGTTGGGTCCCTTTAAGAAGCACCAGGGTATTGAACAGTGATTCTTAACTGAGCTGTGCAGCCCCCTTCCCCTGGCCAGGGATGGAAGTAGGGACGGTCGGAGAAGTGCGTCTGATGTTATAATGAAATATTTAACAGGGGTGCCTGGGTGGTTCATTCGGTTAAGCGTCTGACTCTTGATTTCGGCTCAGGTTGTGATCTCGGGGTTGTGAGATTGAGCCCCATGTTGGGCTCCACGCTGGGCATGGAGCCTGCTTGAGATTCTCTCTCTCCCTCTCCCCCACCTCTTGCTCTCTTGCTCTAAAAAAAAAAAAATTTTTTTTTTTAATTAAAAAAGATTTAGCAAAGGAGAAAAACATATAGTGTTTCCCTACTAACGGTCATTGAAAGAGAGAATGGCGTTCTTAACTGAAACAAAGCCATGAGGAGTACTGGGCTGGAGCTGGGCATGCTGGGCAAGCTGAGGTGGCTCCGTGTCCTCAGGGTAAAGGGAGCAGTTTGCACTTGGCCTCTGAGGCCTTCAGATCTTCCACGTCTGGGTTGGAGCCTTTGTGCAGGGCTGAGCTGAGAGCACTTGGTTCAGGCTGTGCTGGGGGCCGGTGGCCGGTGGCCGGGACACTGGAGGCCTGACCCCCTGCTGAAGGAGTGTGTCTCTGCTGCCCCTTCGCCCAGGATCGCCCTGCTGTCAGACTTTGCCCGGCTGTCTGTGCCATTGGCTGCTAGCTGAGCCCGGTGTCCCCCCGCCCCCTTGGTTCTCTCTGCCCTTTAGGGAAACAGGGTGCTCAGATTATTGCTTGTTGTTTTGTTTTGTTTTTTAAAGATTGTATTCATTTACTTGAGAGAGAGAGAGCAAGACAGCACGAGCAGGGGGCAGAGGGAGAGGGAGACGCAGACCCCACCCCCCAGCTGAGTAGGGAGCCCGACATGGGGCTCGATCCCAGGACAAGATCACGGCCTGAGCCAAAGGCAGACGCTTAACCGACTGAGCCACCTGGGCGCCCCAGGATTATTGTTTTATACTCCTGGGGTCATTTTAGGACTTCCGGATATCTTTCCAAAAAAAGGTTGCTCAGGGTAGAAACACTTAGGAACTACAGAAGTCAGAATCGGGCTGGGGAGAGGGATAGGGCCACCTGAGTAGACTTCCTCAAGAGATTCTTAAAAAAACAGGTGCTGGGAAAAATCCTCACCCCGACATATGTCAGCTTTGCGGTGAGCCCCTTCCCCAAGCATATTTTACAAAGAAACCCTAGGCGATCATCTGCCATCTCTTCCCCGCCGGGCACCGCTCAGTGATACCTAATGTGAGCTTGTGTCTGATCTGCCATCTGCCTGCCGTCTGCGCTCCCCTTGTGACGGATGCGGCGGCCGAGCTGGAGTCCGTCCCAGCGTAGAGCAGGGGCGGCCGGGCATGTTCTAGTCACAGCAAAGTCTGCCCGAGCTGCGTGGCCTCAGGCTTCTGCAGCAAGCGCTGGGCCTCCCAGAGCAGTTCTGTGTTCGCTTGCTTACTTTGTGCAAGTGGCCAGTCCAGATGTGGTCCCCAGCCTGAGCTCCCGGCCCTGCCCCAGTCCTGAGGCACAGCGTGCGCCTGCCCGCTCTGGGCCTCTTGCTCGCTCATCTGTGACTCTGGCCCTTCACTCAGCCCCCTTCCAGCCTAGGTCCCAGGGTGTGTCCTCTCCCGAGTGACTGCTTCCGGCGAGCTCACCGGGCGTTTCCCTCGGGGCCTGTGGTGGGGATTCTTCTTCCAAAGCCCGACATCTGCTTGGGGATGGGGGTCGCAGGCCCGGGGCTCACAGTTAACGTCCCCAGGCCAGCTGGAGGTGATCCTGGACCGACGGCTGATGCAGGATGACAACCGGGGTCTGGGCCAAGGGCTCAAGGACAACAAGAGAACCTGCAACCATTTCCGCCTCCTGTTGGAGCGGCGAACCCTGGGCAGTGAGGTAAATTCTGGGCCTCCCTCCCCAGGAGCCAGGTCAGGCTGGTCCCTTGGGCGGCAGAGCTAGAGGCGGGCGAGGGGTAGTGAGTGTAGGGCTTTTCCGGGGGTGTGGGGAGTGAGTCTCACGCTCTGCTGCTCCATCTCAGCCTGGCACCTCCGTCTCCCACAGCCTCTCCCGCCATCCTCTGTGCCCCCCCACCCCCACCGCGTCCTCTAACTCTCTCTGCTCCGGCCGCATTCATCTCATGGCTTTCTTTGCCCCCACCAGCCTGGCTTTTTCTCCAAACTGGCAGCCATGTTTAGGGACTTGGTCTTTCAGAGCAGCAGGAGCGGTAACCTCGAGGTAAGGGCCAGCGATGGGGTGTGGAACTAGCGTTAGCGAGTCGTAACTGGCGTCAGAGCCTGCGGATGACAGGGCCTGCCACTCAGTCCCCTGAGTCTGCGGCTCAGTCCTCACTCGCCAAGGAGATCCTGATCACTTGTTGTGCTTTGGGCCTGAGAGGGACACAAACATCTGCGTTACTCACCCTGCTCTCTAGGACTTCGCTCGGGGGAAGGGGGGTGCCAAGCTGTGTGTGTAGAACTAAGGTAGAAATATGCCCCCTGGTGCTGAGGAGGGAGAGAATGCCGTGAGCTGGGGGACAGAGGACCGCTTCTGGAGGACGGGTCGGCCAAGCACAGCTGTGGTGAATCGGGGTCTGATCTAATCCCATGAACCGAGGCACGGGCGGAAGGCAAGAGAGACGGTGTGAACGGGGAACAGCAGTGAGTTCGCTCAGCTAGACTAGAGCTGCTTGTCCAGTGTGGTAGCTTCTAGCCACGTGTGGATATTTAAATGAATCGAAACTAAATACAGTACCAAATTCAGTTCTTCATTCGTACCAGCCACGTTTCAAGTGTCCCACGGCCACAAGTGGCTAGCAGCCACTCTACCGTCCAGCACAGGTATAGTGTTTCTGTCTTTGCAGAAAGTTCTAGTGGCCGTGGCTGGGCTAGCATGAAGTCAGGGGTTGTTTGGGGCAGACTGCAGTGGGCCTGGAACAACTGGTGGGAGACTTTCTGGACTTTATGTTGGAGGCCAGGGAGGGACCAGAGCAGGAAGGCTCTGCCCTGAGCATGTCGCCCTAACAGCAGGAGCAGGGTGGATCTTCAGGGAGATTGGAGGCCGGTGATGGTTTAAAGCAGGAAATGTCAGTGGCTCGAAGTGAGCCACAGGAGGGAGAGGTTGTGGGTGGAGGTGAGGACACGGCTGAGCGGGGGACAGAGGTCAGGGGAGGGGGAAGTGAGAGATTCTGGGCGATTGGAAGGAGGGTGGTGGTAGGGACAGAAGTCCGGAATATGGACAAGTGGCGATCTGAGAGAAAGTCCAGGTCAGCCCCCTAAACAGCAGTCCTCGGTGGACACAACTGTGGGGACCCCTGGGCCCGAGGACCACGGCCGGTGCTGCGGACATGGGGCCTTACGTGGAACCGCAGGATCACTCTGAGTACCCCCTGCATCCGTGTGAAGCACACGTCTGTCTGACTCCCATTCTCCTCCCTCCGAGAATCTGCGAGACGGGAGATGGTGTTCAGAGTATGGGGTGTGTGCTTGTGGTAATGTCCTAGAAGCAAAAACCCTCAAAAGTCGTAAATAGTCCTAAGTTGTGTGAGATGGAAAGTGGCCACGTGTGTGTGAAGGGTCCTGGAGCCTCCCAGACACATCGGGGAAGCTCTTTCCAGAGGAACGGACCCGGGCGCGCGCTTACCCTCCCCCTCCCCCGCATCTCGGGCCAACCTTGCAGGTCCAGGATGGCCGCTCCACCAGCTACCCGTCCCTCCTCAGCCACCTGACCTCCATGTACCTGAACACCCCAGTGCTTGCCCTGCCCGTAGCCAAGAGGCAGCTCCCGGGCCCCAGTCTGCGCTCCTTTCATCCCCTGGCCTCCTCTCTGCCCTGTGACTTCCACCTACTCAACCTGCGTACGCTGCAGGCCGAGGTGAGTGTCCCGCTCCGCTCCGCACCCCAGGGCCAGGCTCCAGCCTTTCCGCACCCGGACTCCTCCCGGGCCCAGTACTGCTGCTGGATAGCGGTGCTCTTCCACCTGTGAGCCCTGAGTGGCCCCGGCCCCCCCACCGCCCCTTGTGTGTCTGTCACCCAGGATGACGCCTTGCCTTCGGCGGAAACTGCGCTCATCTTACACCGCAAGGGGTTCGACTGTGGCCTTGAGGCCAAGAACTTGGGCTTCAACTGCACCACAAGCCAAGGCAAGGTGAGCACGGCCCAGGTATGGGCAGGAAAATGGGAAGGCTGCCGTGAGGGGGGCAGTGAGGGTGGGACTGGGGGTGGGGGTCCCTCCAGGGCGTTTTGGAGAGAAAGGGAGAAGCTGTTGACGAGAGAAAAGCAAGCGAGGCCTGGTGGGGGCACGTTCTGGGGCAGGGCATACAGCCGGAGACGTGTGCTCCATGAGCAGAGGCCGCTGTCAGACGAGGTGGGAAACCCCAGCGTGGACCCAGACGTGGTCCTAAAGGACCCACGTGCAGGGAGGCACCATGTCGCCTCCGTGAGGTTCTTCAAGAGGTGACCGGGCATACAGAGGAAGAGCGCCCAGCACAGCCCCGTACCGTGTTCCTCTCCACAGGCGGCCCTGGGGAGCCTCTTCCACGGCCTGGACGTGGGTTTCCTGCAGCCGACCTCCCTGACGTTACTGTACCCTCTGGCCTCACCCTCCAACAGCACTGACGTCTATCTGGAGCCCATGGAGATCGCCACCTTCCGCCTCCGCTTGGGCTAGGGCTTCCTGTGGCCTGAAGAGAAAGTTCATCCACAGAGACTGCCTCTTACACGAGGTCGGGTGGGACAAACCGGATGGGTATCCTGTCCCGATCTACCTCTCAGAACTGTGACACGCTGGGCTCCGCCCTCATTTTCTGTTTATCGTTGCTTCTGTGTCCGGTGGCAGCCCCAAGCCCCGTGTCGGGTAGACAGGGCAGACACTAGTGAGATCGTGACAAGAGGGCCCTGGGTCAGAGTGCGCGGTGCCGGCCTCAGCTTTGGGTTATGAGTGGCGCCCAGTTGGGCACAGGCTCAAGCACCCATCATTGTCCCATAATGGGATGGAGGAGAAGCAGGGTCAGAACAGGTAGGGGAGGCTGAGTGGGTAGCAGCCCAGCGCCGGGGTCACTGGAGGCAGGACCTGGCTCTAGGGGGACCCTCCGGTTACGGAGGGACTGCTTGTCCGGATGTGACCAGCAGGAGCTGAGTGACGGCTGGGAGGAGGGGGATGGGGACCCAGAGTTAGCACTGGGGCAGCAGAGGAATCCCTGCTTTCTGTGACGGTTCCGCCCTAAGAGCTCCCTGGCCTCCCCGGCTCGGGGCTGTGGGGTGGCAGGAAGGACTCGCGAGAGACCATGTCATGGCCAGAGCTCAGAGGATGCTTCAGATACCAGACCTCCCCCCCACCTCATCGCGGGCACTTGGTCTGTGTGTGTTGATGTGTGGGATGGTGGCAGGGACGTGGGGGTCCTCCATCCTCCCTGACCCCTCTTTGGTTCCCGAACTCTGGACACCACTGTCCTCGGGAGCTCCTTCCCATCCTGGGGGCATTTGGTCTGGTACACCTCCTTTCCCTGGAGAGAAAGTGGAGCCTCCAAGCGCCCGTAAGTGCGAGCAATTTGAGAAGGCTTTCAGCCCCATCCCTACGTGGGGGGGTTCATCCTTCTACAGAAGTGTTTGACTCCTGGCACGGGGACTGGGGATACATAGCGTACATTAGGGAGTACGGCTGCTCATCAGCCTTCATTTCAGCTTCGATTAATAGAGAAAAGTTTCTGATCGTCTCTATAGACGCTGAAACGATATTTGGTAAAGTTTAAGATCTATCCCTTATTAAAAATCTTAGTAAGCTAAGATTACAAAGAGACGTCCTCATCTAGATAAAAAATCTCTATCACAAACCAGCAGTTAATGACATTCTAAAGAACCACAAGCATTCCCATACAAGTCGGAAACTAGGGCACTCGTTAGCAGTGTCCTGGCACTGTCACCCCCGCAGGAGAGCAGGGGAAGGAGAGGAAGTTACAACTGTCATTATTTGCAGACGGTAGCACGGCCGACCTATAAAATCTAAGAGAGTCAGGGCGCCTGGGTGGCTCAGTTGGTTGAGCGACTGCCTTCGGCTCAGGTCATGATCCTGGAGTCCCTGGATCGAGTCCCGCATCGGGCTCCCTGCTCCGCAGGGAGTCTGCTTCTCCCTCTGACCCTCCCGACCCTCCCCCCTCTCCTGCTCTCTCTCTCTCAGTCTCTCTCTCTCAAATAAATAAATAAAATCTTAAAAAAAAAAATCTGAGAGAGTCAGCGGGAGACCTACTAAGATCATTCTGTAAGCGGACACAGACGGTAGACATGATGCTCCTGGAAAGATCTCGGTTCTCTCTGAATCAACCCATAAATTCAGTGTATTCCAGCATGGTTGGATACTTTGGGAATTTGATAAGTTCTCAAGTTCATGTGGAAGAGTAAATATGTGAGAATATTAAATTCTGATGCTGGTGAGTCAGGGGCGGGGAGCACTGAGGGGGTAAAGGACTGCCCAGGCGTGGCCCCTGTGACCTGGGGTGGGCTCGGACAGACAGGCTCATGGAACAAAAGGCAGAGTCCAGAAGCAGACCCCCAGGCAGACAGGAACTTAGTAGGATAAAAGGAGTATTTGAAGTGGGGGAAAAAGATGGATTGTTTAATAAATTGGGGTTTAAGACAACTGGTCCTCAAAGTAAGAGTTAGATCTGTAACTCACAGTTGCTACAAAAATTAGTTCGAGGGAAGAAACCAAAAAAGTTCCAACTACAAAATTACTGAAGGAAATACAGGAGATTATTATATCTCTGGTGTGGGAGGCTCTGTTTTAAACATAACACGAAACCTAAAAGATCTAATAAGGGAAAAGATAAACAGATTTTACCACCCCAAAATATTGAAAGTTTGTGTATGATGGAAAACATCATGGTTACAACACAAATGACCGATTGGGAGAAAATGTTTGCTGCACTTCCAATATTGATGAGTTAATTACTCCAGGAGAAAAGCTTGCTTTGGGGTCCTTGGAGAGGGTCCCCCGGGCCTGCTCAGTCACTCCCCGAACAAGAGTTCTTCCAGATCATCCAGGGCTGTTGTTGCCAGCGTCGGGCCAGGGCACATGGAAGCCCGTCTAAATCGTTGTGGAAGAAATAAGATTACCAATGTGAGGTGCTCAGCACAGAGTGCCCGGTACCTAGAGGAGCTTAATAAATAGGAACTGTAATCTTATTAGTAAAGGACGCTAAGCAGTTATATCACAGTAGGTGGTATTTGCTAGTATCACGTGACTTGTAATCAAATGATAAGGGAGACTCTGTGAACCGCCCCCCCCCCGGAAATGAGCAGAATAAAGGCTCTTACCTTTGGAGGTCTTAGATGTACCATGGAATTATTCATCTGCCAGGAACAATGTTTAATCCTGCACACTGGCCTTTTAAAACTACTCCAGGCAGCGGTGTTCAAGATGTGGTCCAGAATCACCAGGAGTGTGTGTTCCAGGCCCAGCTTTTTGGCCTGTCCTGGTGAGGGCTGCCCCTCAGCCTGGATGTGGGGATGAGGGGCCCATGGAGCAGAGACCGAGCCTCGTTGAGACAGCCCTATAACGAGAACCAGAGACAGACCTTCCAGTTGTGTGTGGGAGGGAAAGCCAATTCCGGGGCACCATCTACTGAACCCATTTCTGGGGGTAGCAGTCAAAGAATCTGCATTTTTAACAAGATTCCAGGCGATTCTTTTGCATACAGTAGTTTGGAAATGGGCCTATGATTTTAAGGCAAGCAGCAGCCCTTTACCACGGAGCCCTGGCACTGAGGCCTCCGTTCTGAGGGTTATAATCATAATTAGAACGAGGACAGGACACAGAGGCAACTTTAACCCCTGGCACTAGAATTCTCTTCCTCCCTGCACCCCTCCAGCCACTTAGAACTACCCCATTTCCGCAAAGAAAGGAACTCTGGGAAGGCAGACTGAAACCAAGAACCATGTCCTCCTGTGCAGGCCGAGCCAGGCACGGACTGTGCTCTGACTCAGCTTCCCTGGGGAGTGGGCAGAGAGACCCGTAGAAAGAACAGCGTCTCTCAGCGGAAGCTCACCTGCCTCCCCCACCATCACAGCAGTCGGCTACCTGCCCTCACGCCCTCATGGAGGGGGAGAAGCACAGTCCGGGTGGGGGGAACGAGGCTCACCGCCCAAAATCGAGATCTCTGTTTTTCACTAACAAAACTGTGTACACATAAACACTTCAAGGGGCAGTTCTCATAGCAAGAACAGGTGAGGGAGGAGGAGGCCAGATCCTTCAAAACAAACCCTGATTTTACTTAGGGTCTGTGGGAAATCAATTCAGAACTTCTTAACGGTTACCAGGACTAAGTGGATCTGCAGAGAGTCTCTGTCCAGTCTGGGTCCTGACTTTGGACCCTCCCCGAACTGAGGATAAGCCTGAACTGAAAGTGAACTCTGTGGGCACAGGAGACCTGGAGGGGTGGGAGATGAGGACTTCCCAGCCCTTGGAACATGAGAGAGTTGAAGATTTAAAACCCAGCACGGAGTGTGGAAGCCTCGAGGAGCTCTCCAGGAGGTGGGGGGGGGGGGGGGGCGGCGACGGCGACGGGTTTCCCTGTCGGCATGCTGAAGGACTCGCATTGAAACCAGGGCGTGAGCACACCTGCAATGTTACCTCCTCAACTCCTGATGCCTCCGAATGGGGGGTGAGATACTCACAATGCAAAAGCATAGTCCTCCTAAGACCGGAGGGACTCCCCTTTTGACCCAGAACTGAGAACAGCGATGGCCCTGAGCAGATGGGAAGCTGCACAGTTCAAGAGAAAGAGCAGTGGAGGGGAACCGTGCCAGGCCGTCGGAGTCCATGTGGGACACACAGGTAACCGAGAATGACCGAGGAATGCCAAGAGGCCAGAACCAGGCCAAGTGAGGAGCACAGGACGAGAAAGCAAAGAGGCTGCAAGGAAAAACATGACAAAATGTAAACAGCCCCAAATAATACTTTATTGAAATAGAGTCTACATGTGGGAGAAACACTGGATTTGGTGCAGACGACAGAGGGATTTGGAAAACAGAGCTGAGGAATCACTTGAAGATACCACAGAGCTAAAAGGAAAATATATAAGAGAGGTTAAGAAATATGGCAGATAGGGTGCCTGTGTGGCTCATTTGGTTGAGCAGCTCTCAGTTTTGGCTCAGGTCATGGTCTCAGGGTCCTGAGATCAAGCCCTGTGTCAGGCTCTGCACTCGGGGGAACCTGCTTGAGATTCTGTCTCCCTCTGCCCCTCCCCCACTGGAGTGTTTTCTCTCTCTCAAATAAATATGTAAAATCCTAAAAGAAAAAAAAAAGAAATATGGCAGATAGCCTTGGAAGCACTGACATAATGTTTAGTAGCACTTTTAGGAGAGACTAGTGAGTAGGGAAGAGGAAACCATCAAAAGGATAGTGGGTGCGGTTCTTCAGAAATGAAGAAAGATATGTATGAGTCCTTGGAATGAAAGTGCTCAGCAAGTTCCAAGAAAGGGATGTTTAAAAAAATCCTCCCCTACATATATTGCAAAAAAAACCTTAAAAATCAACCAGAAAGAGACTCCAAAAGGAAAGACCACCAAAATGACAGCAGACATCTAGTTAGTATCAATAGATAACCTGGAGTCCATGAAATAATACAATCAGACTTTGAGAACATAACTGCGAACTCTGGATCTGGTGTTAGCTATGCTCCGATTCAGAGTGAGGGAGAAATGGCATTCCAAACATGCAAAGGCTAAGAGCTTGCAGTGTACAAAACTTCAGTGGAAGAACAAAGGTGTTCTTCAGAAAAAAAAAAATCCAGGGTGCATAAACCAATGGTGGGTAGACCTAATAAGTATTGGCTATAAGCTATAATATAGCTTTAAATGAGGCGAGAATGAATATTCCAGATAGCAATAATGTTAGGTATTATTCCTGGGGTCCTTGTTCAGAAGAAATAAAAGCACACCTCATGATTCATATGCACAAAGAAATGGATGACGATGTTCACTGGAGCGTTATGTGGTGTGGTAAAAAGCTGGAAACAAAACCTGTCAGAAAGGGTAATACATAGAGGCACCTGACTGGCTCAGTTGGTAGAGCATAGGACTATTGACCTTGGGGTTGTGGGTTCAGGCCCCACATCGGGCACAGAGCTTATTTAAATAAAAAAAAAAATTTTTTAAAGGAATGCACAGGGATGCCCGGATGGCTCAGTCAGTTAAGCATCTGCCGCCTTTAGCTCAGGTCATGATCCCAGGATCTTGGGATCAAGCCTCACATCAGGCTCCCTGCTCAGTGTGGAGCCTGCTGCTCCCCCTGCTTGTGCGCTCACACGCTCTCTCTCTCTCTCTGACAAATAATAAATAAAAAAGGGAATGTGTAAAGAAAATACTGTCCATTCATATAATGAAATACTAGAAAGTAGTTTAAAGGAATGAGCTAAACATTCATGTGCATTGACAGGGATAAATCTCAAAAGCATTGCTAAAGGAAAAGAAAGTTACAGGGGTGCCTGGCTGGCTCAGTCGGTAAAGCATGCAACTCTTGATCTCAGGGTTGCAAGTTTGAGTCCCACGTTAGGTGTAGAGATGACAAATTAAAAAAAAAAAGTTAGAGTGATACATACTTATGACAAAATACTCCAAAACAAGTACTATAAGGACAGTCTTTTCAACAAATGATGTTGAAAGAAGTTCTACTAGGGGTAAAATGCTATCAAACAGCATCGCCCACTACAGAAAAATCGATTGAAAAGAGTCAATGTGGCAAGCTAAATTATTAAGAAATGGCGACAGCCACCCCACCTTCAGCAACCAGCACCCTGATCAGTCAGCAGCCATCAAGGACGCAAGATCCTCCACCAGCAAAAAGATTACAACTCACTGAAAGCTCAGATGATGATTGGCAGTTCTTTGGCAACAAAGTATTTTTAAATTAAGGTACACTGTTTTCTTAAAGACCATGCTACTGCACACTTAATATACGACAGTATATGTGTAAACATAACTTATATACACTGGGAAACCAGAAGTTTCATTTGACCCGCTTTCTTGTGATATTCCCTTTATTGTCGTGGTCTGGAACTGAACCCGCAATATCTTCGAGTTATGCCTGTAATCTCAAATGGCTTAGGGGAAAAAGTTACTGTACTTCCAACTTTTAAGTTTCTGATTGTTTAAAAATATATATTGAGTTAAGGGCCCCTGGGTGGCTCAGTCGGTTAAGTGTCCTACTCTCAGTTTTGGCTCGGGTCATGATCTCATGGGTTGTGAGACTGAGCCCGGCCTCAGGCTCCCCTCTCATTGGGGAGTCAGCTTAGATATGCTCTCCCTCTGCCCCT